TTGGAAGGACCCACTGCATAAAGACTCTCTGCGTATGCCCTGTGAAGAGCAGGACAGCAGAAAGGATTCCTCTGTGACTCTGACTCTTGGGCTTGTTGCTCACTTTGGCTGCTAGTGCAGCAAAACAGACAACTGTGCAACTTTACACAACACAGAGACGTAGAAGTCTGTGCCTTCCCATCAGACATGGTCCCTGCCAAGTTAAAGGAGCAAGTGAGGCAAAATTAAGGTAGAGGAAATGGGTAGATCAAGTCAGAGACATGGAGAAGAGAGGTCTGGAACAAGGCAAGATCCAGTATGGTGTAGTGGCTAAGAGTGGTGGACCAGTAGCTGGGAGACCTGGGTTCAAACCCCCACTTGTGTCATGGACGTTCACTGGGTGACCTTGGGTCAGTCACACACTCTCAACCTAACCTACCCTCACAGGGTTGTTGTGAAGATAAAACAGAGGAGAGGAGAACAGATAAAATGGAGAAGAGGAGGAAAATGTAAGCTGCTTTGGGTCCTCTGTGATTTGTTACTCAAGATGAGAGAGTCTTGTACCCTCAAAAGGCTGCATACTTACTACACACACAAGCACAGAAGAAAATTTCTAGAAACAGGTATCCTCGGGAATCCAAGATCGTACCAGCAGCTATGGCAATCACCGCCAGACCCAAGTTTTGGATTGACTGCATACTGGAAAGCATTGGGAAGACAATTAGCTTACAGAGTCCAAAATACTTTGACTGAAAAGGGAAAGTGTTCATTGATAAAGTTTCCTCTTCTATATATTCAAAACAGTTTCACTTAAAAATAAAGACATAAAGTCTATTTTAAAAACAATAAAATATAGTTAGACAGGTAGCACAAGCTGAAAAATTAGTATTAACGTTTTCTCAAGTAGGTATACAGAGAAGAGGACACAGGGAGCTTAGGGTGCCCTCTACCTACCCAGAAACTACTTGCAAGGGTTTTATTGCTGTTTTTAAAAACATTGTAGGATGGATGTAGTAGCGCAATGGCTGCAGCAGAAGGCAAGGGACTTGTAATTTTCTCATGCTCTGACACATTTGTCCATGCATGCTCGTTACGCCCCTTTCTTGGCCTGCTATATGTTCAATTCCTGATTTAAGAGGTTACATGGCATTGTTCGGAACACAGGTTTTGTAGTGGGCACAGAAAGCCTCGTTCAAAATCAATTAAAATGTCCCAGAAGTTGCTGTATTTCGGAATATTCACGCAAAGGAAAATAGGTGAGGCAGCAGTAATCTGAATGAAGCTATGGACTGCTCTCTCTTGCATAGAAACAGTACACTGCCTGACCACGACCCAATTATGAAGCTGCTAAACCCAAGTCTTCAAAAGACAAACTTACAATCCATAGGCAGTTCCCAGCTGGTGTTCAGGGACCACGAAAGCCACCATAGGCCACAAGGCACAAGCAAGCAGGGAGTAAGCAACTCCCAGCAAACACTGCAGAAAAAAAAAACAGCATTAGAATAAACACGTTCAGTGTGAGCTATGACTGACTGCTGTACAGAATTGCTACTTGGGCTCGATAAAACAGCATGCCATTTTTCTACCCAAGGAGATAGTTCAAGATGGGTAGCCATGTCTGTCTGTAGCAGTAGAAAAGAGCAAGAGTCTAGGTGCACCTTAATTTGTGGTAGGGTATGAGCTTTTGTGAGTCACTGCTCACTTCTTCAGACACAGCTAGAATGTGAGTTCATCTGCCCTTATATCTTGCAAAGTGGAGTGATTTCAGATGCCGAATGATAATAGGTGTGGAGAAATAAGCATCCATAATGAGACTCATTACTAATGTCTCGTTACCAGTGCTGAGATCTCCATGCCTACTGCCCCTCTGCATATTACGCCTGATCCAATCATGCCTGCTAGTGTCATTCGACATCTGAAATCACTCCACTCTCCAAGATATAGGGACAGATGGACTCCCATTCTAGCTGTATCTGAAGAAGCAAGCAACAACTCACAAAAGCTCATACCCCGCCACAAATTTTGCTAGTAAAGTGCTACTGAACTTTTGCTCTTTTCTACATTTTTCTATCTAGGTACCCAAACAGGGATCTGAGACTGTTTTCTCTAGTCTCATCTGCTCCAGAAATAGATGGATAACTTAAAGCAGCTGGTCAGTTTAGAGACTATGTATGAAGAATGGCACATACAAGAGCACATAACCCAGTTACCCCCCCATCTGATAAAATCTACTGCTACTTACACTGGGGACATTAATACCCAGGATGCACCACTACAATCACAGAGATACTTTAAGGTTTTTTTGGGGGGGCATCCATGTTATACTGCTGAGGGGGCAGAGGAGGAAGAGACAGAACAGCACTACACAAAAATACATCTTTCATTCAGTTTTCACAGGAATATTTTGAGAACACAATACATGTGAAATGCCGTTTAGAACATGACTGATCATTTCCATACATTTGCACTGCTCTGTTTGGGGGAAATGAAGCTAGAGGAAATGCTTACCATAGCAATCCAAGGGTTCCAGAAAGTAAAGGCCAACATGATGTGAGAAGCCAGAGTAATCACTACAGAACATAGAACCCAGGAAATATTCCTTCCGAATTTATCCACTAGGAATCCAAAGACAGGGGACATGGGTGCTGATATCACATACACAATGCTATTTAAAAAAAGAGGGAAAGCCAAAAGGCACAATTATTACAAAAGACCTAAATAATCAGGCTACAACTCTTGGTGTTGGGAATGGGACCAGCTTTATAGGGAATTCTTCCTACAACTACTTTGGCTCCTTTGTATATTTTCTGAGAGTCCAGAGAACAAAAGAGCCAAGTGTTAGAGGAAAGGGTATAATAAAAGGGATAACATCAGATACATAATTGTTAGCCTACTGACAACAAACGATTGATCTAATCTACAAATAATTTTCTTGAAGCAGAATATTAAGCCACAACTAGAGTCTAAGAACATAAGAACATGTTAGATCGTGCCAATGGACCCATCTAGTCCAACACTGCGTGTCACACAGTGGATAAAAACCAGGTGCCACCATGAGGTTCACCAGCGGGGCCAGAACACAAGAAACCCTCCCACTGTTGCCCCCCAAGCACCAAGAACACAGAGCATCACTGCCCCAGACATAGTGTTCCATCTATACCTTGTGACTTCCCTCCTTATCCTTCCGATATAATTTATATCCAGGAATCACTGGATCCCACTGACTTTCCTCATCCCACCAAGTTTCTGAAATGCCCACAATATTCTCCTCTGGCACTAAGCATTCCGGCTCCCCCATTTTACCTCTGACACTTCTAGCATTTGTATATAAACATCTATAATTTCCCAAACATGTTAAGTCTGCAACCCTCCTCCTGTGGCCTCTGGACCTTGCCAGGCAGCCAATATTGTTTTTCACCCTCTCAGTGGCCAGATCTAATGCATTTCCCCATAGAACAGTAACAGCTACCCCTTCATCCCTTTGAGATGAGACGTCCCAAACCAGAGACATTTCATCTCCTGTCAGCTTTCCCCCAGCATTTAGTTTAAAAACTGCTCTGCCACCTTTTTGATGCTAAGCGCCAGCAGCCTGGTTCCTTCTCAGGACAAGTGGAGGTCATCTCTTTTGTACACATCCTACTTGTTCTAAAAAGCATCCCACTGCCTATCAAACAAACCCTTCCTCCCCACACCATCATCTCATCCACACATTGAGACTCCTGATTTGTGCCTGCCTAGCTGGCCCTGAACGTGGAACGGGCAGCATTTCTGAGAAGGCTACCTTGGGAGGTCCTGGCCTTGAGGCTCCTGCCCAGCAGCCTAAATTTTTCCTCCATGACCACATGACTACATTTCCCCACATCATTGGTGCCAACATGTACCACAACCACTGGCTCCTCCCCAGCACTGTCTGCCAGCCTATCTAGACCACAAGTAATGTCTGCAACCTTCACACCAGGCAGGTAAATCACCATACGGTCAGTGTGCGTGTTCACTACCCATCTATCTACATGGCTAAGGACTGATTCACCACCTAGAGCCCGCCTCCCTCCCTGCCCAGGGATAACTCCTTGGTGTGAAAGAATACCTGTTCACCAAATGAAGAAGGGATCCCTTCTGAGGGAACATTCCCCCTTTCATCCGCACAATGCCCTGATTCCCCTTGACCCTCATGCTCCCTGACAGCAGCAGGGCTGTCATTCTCAGAGTGGGACACATCTACCAAGTCCCCAAGAGTTTTATTCATGTGTCAGACTGTCTGCTTCTCCAGGTCAGCCACCTTGGCCTTGAGAGCATGTAATCAACTCCTTTTAGAGTAGCTTATCTTCTACATTTTAAAAAAGCCAACAAGCATATTTCATTCCCTCAAGACAGACCTGAGAGGATGCATCTTTGGGCATCTGCCTTTCCCTCTTCCAAGAGGGCAGGATCAAAAAAGTCGCTTCAGTTACACCCAAAAGGGTGAACCCCAATATGATCTTATACCACTTTTTTCCTTTGGAAGAGAAGTCACCCATGCCGCATTACAAACTGCTCTCAGAATTCCTCTCAGACTCAAAAAGCTGTTTTCCAGATGGCTGGAGCAGCCCCTTTGGGCACCTAGCACCATTAGGCCAAGGTCCAAAGGAACTACACAAGAATCCATTGCATTCCCCGTGCTGGCCCAATGTCTGAATGCACTGGGGTCAAGAGGCTGAGGGAAAACAAACCAAAGCTGAATCCTGATAAGATGGAGATGATGCTAGCTGGAAGAGGCCCTGCTTTAATTGTTCTTTGTACCACTGATGGTACACAGTTTTTGCTGAAAAACTCAGTTAAGAGCTTGGAGAAAGGAGGGAGTGAATACTCTGCTGGTTGGGGCAGAAGTCATTTTTAGTTTTGTGCATGTTTTAAATTGTTGTTACCTGCCTTGAGTCCTGAGATAAACACAGGTATATAAATATCTGAAATACATCAATAAATGCTTCGCAGTGTTTGCTACACTCCAAATGGCTGAGGATGTAACTTGCTTAAGTAAAAACAGTGTGTTGAAAAACACAAAGACACGTGAAATGGAAGAGCCAGACTTTGTGACTTCGCACAACCCACATGGGGTGCATCCTATCCCTGTGTCTGCCATGGGTCTAGGCCCACAAGGTACTCACCAGAATAATAAACCATCTAGTGAGACACCCTGAACCCCAAAGAATTTTGTAATAGTTACCTGTTGATTGCACTTGCTTCTTGTGGAGAGAATTTGAATTTTTCAATGAAGAAAACCCTGCAAATATCCATAAGGAAGTTTTATCATTTCACATCTGGTTTGTTAAAAACAGACCACCCCCCAAACCCCCCCCCCCCC